AAAAAAAAAAAAAAAATTCTGCTTACAATAATTTTTACATTTGAAACCATCCTTCAAGGATACTGCCAGGCATGAGAGCTAGACAATGATTTCCATATTTTATTGAATCAAAGATATTATAAGATATACCATTATTTCATGTTTCACTAACAATGCAAAACACTACTAATTAAACAATGACTGCAATTCAACTTCAATTTGAAGTATTAAAAAATTAGTCTTAGAATAGACATTCTGTCTCTTAGAATGATCTCAAGGTACCAGAAACCTAACCTGCATATCCTCTACACAGGAGAAAATCATTATTATTACAATACCAATATCCCTAGAAGGTCTTACAACAAACTTTCTTAACTGCATAAAAAGTCAGTACAAAGGATCAACAAATAATACTGATTGCAAGTCCAAAGACACTTAATATCTTAAGCAAATAACTACGTAATTCACAATAGCCTAAGTACCAAATGATTTCCAAACTCAAGAAAGAGGTCAAGAACCAAAGCACCAAATGATTTTTAAACAATGTGGGTCATCAGGATCTATGTCTCCTTTAACTCTATGGTCCACAGGTACTAACTCAGAAGGCAGAAGCTACCTACTAAAGAAAAGGCAGCTGATTCAACATTTTTTCAGTACATACTAAGGACACAATGGACTCTTGATTTAGCTTGGGGCAACTTACAGACTTAAAGTATACTGTGACATGTGACAAAGAGAAAGGTAAAGGTATAGAGTAAACAGAAAATCTTATTGGCCCAGACTGAGAAAGACAATAAAAGTTAATGAAATAATCCAATTTCAACAAACACACGAAAATGTATTTATTCAGTGTTGCCAATAATTCAATTACAATATAAAAATACAAAAAACCTCTACTAACTTTTACTCATTTCAAAACTCCTAGAATCTATTACTTTTCTTACAGCTAAAATTTAAAACTGTATCCTTTAAACATAACATATGTTGTTGTTGTTATGTGCCATGGAGTCAAACCTGACTCATAGCGACCCCCTCCTTGGGTTTCCGAGGCAGTATCACTACGGAAGTAGATTGCCCAACCTTCCTTCCGAGGAGTGGCTGGTGGATTTGAACCGCCAGCCTTCTGGTTAGCAGTCAAGCACCTTAGGCACTACACTACCAGAGCTCCCACATAAAATATGTATAATCTAAACATCCTAGTAAATTCATGACCAATTAATTTGTATAAGGCAAATAAGATTCACAAATATAAACTTGGTAATTAAAAAACTCTATTAAAATTAAATTATGCATAATAACAAATAACACATTCAAAATCTAAAACAAGGCAGAATATGACAAAAATCCCTTTAACCATAGCAAGTCCACCCCAATTTTGGGGGAAAACTACAAAATATAGCTGTTTAGTTACTTCACTCACCATTTAATTTTCTTAAGTCACAGCTGTCACGCACAGAATTTATCCACACACAAACACACATATACAAAATACACGCATATACATGGAAACAATTAGTCCAAGCAACTGGTACACCATGTGATTTTTACCCTATATGACCAGGAGACCAGAAGAACTAGATGGTGCCTGGCTAACACTGTCAACCACTCGAAGGTGGAGCTATGTAGGAGATCCTGGAGAGAGTGGGAGAACAATGTGGAACAAAACTCAAAATCATATAAAAAAGAAAAAAAGGGACCAGGTTTGCTGGTCTGATGAGCCTGGTGGAACCTTTGAGACTACGGCCCCTAGTTCTCCTTCAGGTCTGGAATTGAACCTACTCATGTGGCTTCCAAACAAAAGACAGACAGACAAGCTGAACATTTACATTAGGGAGATACACTCCCTGAAGAGAGCAATCATGGGAGAACAGAATGGCTGTGCATGCACAGGGAAACAGCTTGGGAAGCAGGAGTGCATGGAAGGAAGGATACAGAGAAGAGGTGGCTATGGGGAAGAAGTGGGAGGGGAGCTTTTGCATTGTGGGAGATTACAGTCAATGTCATGAGACAAAGTATATGTGAACTGCTGTATGGAAGATGAATTTGCTCTGTAAACTTCCATCTAAATCTCATTAAAATTTTAAAAAATATATACATGCATATATATATATAAAGACAGTAAATAAGAACATACAAGTCACATTATTTTTTTTCTAAATTAACAGTGGCCCTAATACATAAACCATTCCTAGGTTTAAAAGTGATTGAGAAAACCAAATAACTGAAAAATTATTTTCTCCCTTTTTTGTTGCTTTGTCAGAGGAATACAATTTTTTTCCTTTTTTAACTGTAGTTTGGGTGAAAGTTTACAGAGCTTATTAGTCTCCTATTCAACAATTTACACACTTTTTGTTTCATGACATTGGTTACAATCCCCACAATGTTATGGCACTATTCTCACTTCCTGCCTAGGTCCCCCATTTCCATTCATCCTTCTTCTCTGCCTCCTCCTACCTTCTGAGTGTTGTTTTTGGGTTAATGCTGCCCTTTTGGTCTGGTATAATTGACTATACTGAGGAGTACATTCTTCTCCAGTGTTATTATTCACTTCATAGGTCTATCTATTGCTTGGCTGAAAGTTGATCCCTGATGGTGGGTTCAGTTCCAGGCCAGAAAGTGTCTAAGAGCCACATTCTTGGGGTTCACAGTCTGTATCAGACCAGTAAGTCTGGTCTTTTTTATGATTTTGAATTTTTTCTTCCTCTCTGTCCAGGATCTTCTATTGTGATCCTGATCAGAGTGGTCGGTAGTGATAGCCAGGCACCATCTAGTTCTTCTGGTCTCAAGGTAGTAGAGGAGAGGAATCCAATTAGATCATCCACTTTGACCTTAAACCTCAGAGTTCAGAAATGCAAATGTGAAAAAATGTCCACCAGTTTAAACAAAAATGGCAAAATGTAGATAATTTTTTAAAATGGGTTACAGGTTCATTGTATAGTTTATTTTTGTGTGTATTTTTAAAAGTCTATAATAAAATTAAATTTTAAAAAATTATTCAAGTATATCAAGTGGGTCCTCTTAAAAATCTCTTTGTATTTCTAAAGCAAATTTAGTAGACAGCATCAATTTACCAGTAAGTTATTTAACAGGGTACACTAACTTAAAGGTAGTCTACTGTTCACATTAACAATTACTGTCAACAGATAAATATATGGCCATCTCTGCCTGAGAGTTACTGAGAAAATAAGTATAATGCAATGAAGTATATGCCTTATTTTAAAATGCTATATAGCTAACAACTTATTTTTAAAATTTCATTCTTAGAATTGGAAGGGATATATCTAGTTCAGTGATTTGAAAACTTTTCAAGATACACAGAGAAGAGGGCGAGGACACCTTGTTTACGTATCATAGCTAGTGTACAAAATATAAGATTTTGTTAAAAATGATCTAACTCTTAAAAAGGAGGGGTGGTTTAAAAAGCAGTTCTATTTCACCACCCACATTCTACAGCTAACATAGTGGCCTAGAAAATGTTAGATGACTCGTATCAGTTTATTCAATTAATGGCAGTGTCAGAAACAGAATTCAGAATGCTTGACTACTAATCAGGTTCTTTTTTAAAAAAACTGTACAACCATAAATTTAATTACATTCAGAATAAAACTCTCCCTCAATTTTCTTTTATGTAAAATAAAATTACTAAGATAATGTTCCAATCTAAAATTATGACTCCAAGAAATCAAAGTTCAAACAGGAGTCCACATTAAGGGGATGGATGCTATTAAATATAGCAGAACCCTTCAGGGTTCCTGAGAATGGCAAGCCAAATGGAGAAGCAAACTAACAATTCACTTAACTGCCTTCTGAATCCTGAAACATTTGTGCAACTTCTCCCTCCATCTTTTAATACTTAATGCTAAAATATTAAACATAGTTATCAAAGACCACTGAAATAATCATGCTGGAAATTATTCATGTTATTAGATATTTTTGGAAAAGATACTCGCTGATCAGAAACATATACCTAACTGAAGACATTCAAGTTGTTGAGTATCTCATGGAGTACATCATTCTCTTTGATTTAAAATAACAGAATTCAGAGGAGGATTAAGCCTAACAGACACATAATGGTCACAAGCAAAGTTTAAATTCTCACCTATTAAAGCCTGAAAGAGGTTGCTCTGAAATATGTTAATAACCCTTTCTATGGAACTTCTGAGCTGTCTGTCCTCAGTTTGGCTTAGTTTCGAACGATATTCTTCCAAAAGGTGCAGTGCTCTCTGGGTATCTGAGAGAGAAAAAGCAGGCTGATTAAAAGGATATATTTACAACAAAGTATTACACACTAGCTATGCAGACAAATGATTCTGCAAAATACCTCAAAAGTTCCCAAAATCCTCCAGGTCAACTGGTATTATTAGGTACATGTAAATATATAGTCCCTAGGAAGATCAAAAAAAATTTTAACCACATGTTATCTAACATGTGAAAAAAAGCAGAGGGTGAGTAGTTTCTAATACATGTGTACTGTTAGCAAAACACAGTAAAAGATCAAAGTATTATCAACATAGTTCAGATTACCTGATATGCAAAAAGAAGATTATCTACAATTTGTCATTATAATTCAAATCCTAAATATTTTCAAAATACTAGTACTTAGTATTCCACATCTGCTCAAAAAAAATAGTGGTTAGTAAGGAGAAGGTGACATACTGAAATACCAATTCGGAGTTTTTAAAAAGATAGCTCAGGGGAAAATATTTATTGCCTCTCTAGTAACAGGAGAGCTGTCAATTAAGGAAGTTTAACAACATTTAGGTATTTCTTCTGAAATTATGTGAAGCTTGAATTCTCTAAACAGTAAAGCTAAGACCGTCTCATCAAAGTTAAACAAATATTTTGAAGTTTAACAATCACAAAACAAACGTACAGAAAAGCAAGTGACACCGACATGAGAGAGTTCCGAAATAAATTCTCACCTTGCTTCCGGACCGGCATTTTTCTCCAGAATCAGGAAGAGGGCACAAACCTCTGAAAACACAAACAGAAAGAAAAAGAACAGAGATGTGGTTAAACTAGCATTTCTCCCTACACTTCAAGTCGAATAACTCCCAGCCCCATTTGAACAGCCCACCTAGCAAAGTTTTTCCAAGTAAAGGAAGGGACTCAAAAGCCTACGCTGTCAGTCAATCTAGAAAGCTTTTTCCGTGGGGGAGGGGGCACCCCTGCAAATTAAGAGCAGACAGAAATGCATTCTTGCAAATTCTCTCCGAAAGCTTCTGCCTCTCTAAAGAACACTAAATGCCTAGCCTTGGGGCCACCTCCCCAACCCTGGCATAAGTATTCGGACTCCCCACCTGCTACGGGGGGAGGGGTCAAAAGGCGCTCCGACCCTTGGCCCCAGAGCCAGCAGGGGCCGTGCCGGGCTCCTAGAAGGAACCGGCTGAGCAGATCACCCCGCCCAGCTGTAGCCCCCTCCACTCGCTTGCCTTTCTCCTTGCTTGCTTTCTCCTTTGCTACTCCAGCAAAGGCCGGACAGGACAGCGACCGCTCTCCGCGACGCCCTAGCGCCCCACATGCACGCCTCCGCGGTCCCCCACACCTGCGGCTCCACCACAAAGTTCCTGAGAGAGGCGTGCGCTCCGCGCTGGGGTGCGCTCCGAACCGAGTCGGGGCGGCTCCCCCGCCCTGCCCTGCTCCACGCCCCCCGCCCCGCCCGGGGCTAAAGGAGCCGAGCTGAGGGGGTGAGGGGACGGGGGAGGAGCTCCCCTCGCGGCCGCACCCCCGCTGCCTCTTCCTCTTCCTCGAATGCCGCTGCTGCCTCCTCACTCGCCGCGGCCCGTTAGTCCGCTAGCCCTCTCCTTTCCCGGCCGCCCCACCCCCGGAACCTCGCCTCCTTCCGCGCCCCCAACCGCTCTCCCCCTAAACTTTCCGCCAAGATGGCGGCCCCGGAGCTGGACTGCCGCGCCCCCACGTGACCGCGTTCCCTGTATTCTCAGCCAATGGGAAGTGAGGAGGCGGCTCGCGCCGAGCTTGGGGCTCTCAATGCTGCTACCTTTGGGTTGGAGGGGGGAGCCGGCCCGGAGAGGGCTGAGGAGCGGGAAGGGGGGATAAGGACAATATCCCAAGTGAACTTCCTGGCTTAAAGGTTTGGCTACGGAAGTGGCGCTGAAGACAAAGGAGTTGACATGCAGATTCTACAGGTGGTCCGGGGGTGACCCTGGAAGAGCATGCCTTTACGCTGCCCCTAACCCACCAGTGTGTCCCGTGGTTCTGAGCTAGTAGTTCGCGGGACTGGGAGAGGTCCCGGTGTCTGAAGAGACGTGACCTTACAACAGTTCCAAGACACATTCGTAGTCACCCCTTAACCTCACTAAACATGTGCTGTTTTCAACTCCAAGGCAGGCGAGTGTCTAGCACCCCCAGAGGTGGATCACCTACTGGGAAAAGCCCTGTTGGGGAGGAGCCAACACCAACACCCAAGTCTAGGGCTGGGAGAGCGGGGATTGGGAGGAGAAAGGGGGAGGAGTTTGGTGGGGGTACCACCTCTACGCTTTGTACTGGTTTTTTAAGTTACTGTTTGCTCCGAAGTGAAGAGTTGTCTTTAAAAAGGCATGTAAATAGGAAGACTGGTTAATTTGGTTAAGAGTCTGAGAGTTGTAGTAGAGAATTTTTAAGACAAAGCATTTGTCTGCTAAACAAAATGTTGGGCGGGTTCAAACCTATCAACCGGTCTGCGGAGAAAGATGAAGCATTGTGCTTCCATGAAGATTTACAGGCTTGGAAACCCTATGAAGCAGTTCTACTCTGCCCTATGAGGTCGGTTTGAGTCGGAATAAACACGATGGCAGATGATTTGATTTATTTGGTTTAAGTGAGTACATTTAACTATGAGTGCAATTAAGAATAGGGAGGGAAGATTCGTTCATTCATTCACCCACTCACGTGCATTCTCTTACATGGCTCCTCAGAAAGGGAAAATGGGCCAGAACCCTGCTCCTCGGCGGAGCCACCGGGATTGAATCGCAGAAAGCTCAGGTGTTCCAGTGAATGGATAACAGGAACCTCCCTCCTCTGTGGTCCAGAGAAAAGAATTTGTCTAAGGGCACCCAGAATTAGTGACAGAACAGGAAACCCAGCTTTCAAAGACGGAATGCTCTTCCTAACAAACCTGACAGCCTTTCACTGAGACTGTTCATAAATAATAAAGAGAAATCCGGCGAACTTCTATTGTAACTATAACTGCTACCCAGAGGTATGCTGACCACTGCACTTCACTTTTGGATTGCACTTTGGAAACCTAATTTGTGATAAACTAACGACCTCAGAGGTTATCTAGACCCACTCTCTGAATTTAAGAAAAAGAAAGTGAGGTATAGAGAGGGGAAGCAAGTTGCCCACAACCAAAACCAACCAAACCCACTGCCATTGAGTGGATTGCCTCCATGTAGGGCAAAGCAGAACTGCCCCCATAGAGTTTCCAAGGCTGTAAATCTTAATGGAAGCAGTCTGCCTCATTTTTCTCCCATGGAGCAGCTGTTGGGCTTGAACCATGGCTGCCCTTTTGATTAGTAGCTGAATGCTTTAACCACTACACCACCAGGGCTCATTGTCCAAGAACATATAGGCTAGTTAGTAACAAAGAAGCCCTAGGACTCAGGTATCCTAGCTCCACTCCAGGGCTCTTTCCACTGTGCTTTTAGATAATTTGACTAATGGTGGTATATTGGCAACAGATCTCTTTACTTTTCTAGATCAAACACCTTGGGAGCTTGAGCAATGGTTAAAGCAACAACAAATAGAGGAAACAGGATAGAAGAGTGAAAGTCAGCTCCTAAAAGTGAAAAGCTTAAATAGAAGAATGGGGATTTTTTTTTTTTTTTAATAAAATGACTGATAGCATGAATGACTATCAGACTTCAGTGATCAAACTGTGAATGGATTAATAAGGAATGGAGCCAAAGAATGGAATCTCTTCAGTAATCAGTAGGGAAGTTTGCCCTTTCCTCTGATAGCATTCATCATTTATATATGTTCACTTGCTAGCCGACGGGGATAAAAACAAATAAGATCTAATCCCTGCTCTCAAGGACCCATTGCTTAGTAGCAAATGGATAAAATCCAAAGCAACTGAGGAGTTAAAAACAAAATATATTTAAGCTCTTCATGGCATTCTGTTGTTAGGTGCCATAGAGTTGTTTCCAACTCATAACAACCCCATGCACAGCAGAACGAAACACTGCCCAATCCCACACCAGCTCCACTATCCCTGCTATACGTGAGCCCATCATCGCAGCCACCGTGTCAATCCATCTCGTTGAAGGCCTCCCCCTCTTTTGTCAACC